CCCCCCCCCCCCCCCCCCCCCCCGGCAGGCAGAGCCCCTGCCAGCACTGCTGCAAGCCTGGGCTCTGTACTCCTGCCACTCCTGGCCATGGTGCACTGGCGCAGGCCCCATGCTCCTGCTCACTGCCACTTGCCCCCTGTCTGCCACTGCTGCCCTTCTGCTTTCCCATCCTCTCTGCCCCCCCCCAGCTGTTCCTGTGGTCCCAGTGCTGCAGCTGGGAACTACATGATGCCAAAGCGCTGTGGGGGAGAGGGGAAGGGTCAGCAAGAGAGGGCCTGGAGTGCAGCAACAGCTGGGCAGGAGCACAGGGCCCATGCTGGTACTCTGGGGCCAGCACCAGCAGCGTAGAGCGGCAGGACTGTGGGGTCCAGGTTGCGCTGCTCAAGTAGGGAGAGGAGGGAGCCAGCTCGGCTCCATAGAGCCCCTGGCCCCATGCTCCTGCTGCCTCGCTCTGGGCCCCGTGCTCCCGCCCGGCTGTCACTGCGCTCCATGTGCCCTCTCACTGCCAATTCCCCCTGCCTGCTGCAGCTATTTCCCTGTTCCCCACCCCCCCCACCATTGTTTTATTTATTTTTTGTGGTATCTCCAGAATTGCTGCACTTCTATTAAGAACTGTAGGTTTTGTCTTTTTACCAGATTTAAATTTTTTTTTGGTGGTGGTTGTGGAGGAGGGGGGTGTTCAATTTATTTTTCTGAAAAAATCAGTATTGTAAGATTATTTTCCATTGGCTAGTCAAGATTTATATTTTGTTTTAATCATAAAAGAATTAAAAATTCTGTTTATGCAGTTTATTGAAAAGTAATGTAGTATGAGTTGTTGTGATATAAGGAATCACATTTTATTTATTTAAACTCATTATCATTTAATTCTTTATACAGGTTCCAGCACCAGAACATGTAGAAAAAGGTGGTGTTAGTAACGTGATGGAAGCCAAACTAGTCCTCTTCCTCACCTCCTTATTTATTAAGGTCTCATTTTTTTAATATGCTATCTGGAGGGTGGGCAATACACTTTAACAATGGTGTAATATTGCATCTGATGCAGAAGCATGTGTGTAAAATTTGCCACATAAACCAAAAGTTTGGCCTCACTCTTAAAAGATGGTATAATGCAAATCCCCTTCCAAGGGATGCCATCTTGTATTATAGTTAGGCGTTGCAGAATTTGGTTTTTATCGGTAAACATTGATAAACTGATTTTACTTCATAGTCAGATGGACGGAAAAATATTTTCATGCGCAATAATTAAAACTTATAGAACGGTAACTGTAACAGGGAAACCTTACCCCTGTTATTGGACAGTGGAGAAGGGAAGGGACAGATGGCCTAGGGGTTAAAGAGGAAAATAATGGGAGGCCTCATGACTTGGCAATTAAGCAATTAGCTGCTCACTTACAGATGGTGGAGGGTTTAAAGTGGAAAACAATGGAAGATCTCATGAATAATGCAACTAGCTGCTTGTCCACAGGTGCTGAAGTAAGCTGGAGGGAGAGAGCAGGCTACTTAAACTCCTACCCAAAGGAGGGAGGAGTGAAGGGTATTCAAGGCTCCAGCCCTATGGCTGGCCACTAAGTGCAGGGGGTGAGGGTGGCCACCGTCACCACTTTCCCCGTGTTCCCAGAGCTATGAGAGTGCTGCTGTTCTTTTCTGTTTCCTGACTACCCAGCTCTTTCCTTATGAATTAACAGAATGATTTAAAGCGGGTATGATTTATGTATATTTACTTTTTATATATTGACAGTGTATATATTGTATATATTGACAGTGATTTTTATAAAGCTTTTGACAGTATACTGTCACTACTACACTTTCTGCCTGTCACCCCCAGTTTCATGCAATCCTAAAAGTTTATATAGATAAAAAATCTTATAATTCTGCCAAGCTTACTTATAGTCAACTTTGATAGAATTGGAAGGTCCTAGAGAATGTCTAGGTAATAAAATAATGCAAACTGCTTGTGTTGTGAGGTCTTTTCCTTTTTTCTAATTAGGCTGGCTGTAAACCTTCAGATATCGGTATCATATCACCATACAGACATCAGTTAAAGATAATCACTGACTTGATGACAGGCTCGTATGTCAACAAAGTGGAAGTAAATACTGTGGACAAATACCAAGGGAGAGACAAAAGTATCATCATAGTATCTTTTGTCAGAAATAATACTGATGATAATGTGAGTTGATGGTGTTTGAGCGAATACTGAAGAATTTAAAGACCTCATAAATTTTACGGTGTGATATTCAAGTCCCTGAAGTTATTACATACTTCAGTGTAATTTTAAAAAGACATATATGCTACCTTATATATATGTGCAATCTACTCACTGCAGCACAGTGCTCAGCAAGGGCTAATTTACCCTTCTATGGAGGAATGCTGCAATGTGGACATATCTAAGTAATAGGGGCGTTCTTCATATTTAAAACAACAATGGTACTTGCAATGTAAGGAAGACTGGGTGGCTAATCTAACAAGCAGTAATATTAGAAACACTATTTTTAATCTGATTGTGTTTGGGGGGGGAACAAATTTGCTAAACACTTTTCTGGTAACATCTTTAGATTAGCTTAAAATTGATCTGAAAATTCATTTTTACTTTTGTTATTTATTGACTTGATTCCTCACTGAGTAATGGAAATTAACTAGTTAGTTTCATTTTTGTATCTTCAGATCTACAGTTCCATGTCACTGCACTGGTAGAGTTGGAAAAAATGCAAGCCAATATTAATTTATAAAAGGGTAACAATTTTAAATGGCATCATTTATGTGACCCTAAGGTTTTTGTAAATGCATTTTATACCAAACGTATTTTAGAGCAAACTTAATCTGTCTTCTTTTGAGAAATATAATGCACAGTGTCCTTCAGACTTATAAACCTGAGGATGGGGGAGTTGTAATTCAAAACTTCCTTCTTTTAAATGCTGAAATGATATGAAAAAAATTGCTTTTAACAGGTTGGTACACTTCTGAAGGACTGGAGGCGTCTTAATGTTGCTATTACAAGAGCCAAGCACAAATTAATCATGCTGGGTTGTGTTCCATCGCTGCGCCGCTATCCTCCTCTAGAGAAGCTGCTCTGCCATTTAAACTCTGAAACAATGATATCCTTTTCCTAAAACAGCTGTGTACACACCTATACCTTTTAGTCCTGTTGAATATGTTGTCTTTTGTTAAAGTTTGTTACAAACATTTACTGGTTAACTGATTGGAATTAGTGTAGTTTCAATGAGTGTGCATGTCATGAAAAGAGGTACTAGAAGGCTTATAATTTCACATTCACACCAAATAAACTAAAGCAGGGGTGACTAGGATTTGGAGTGTGGAGCTGTCTCATCTGGCCTGCAGAGCCAGAAATTTGTCAGCAAGAGGAGTGGCAGTTGCTGCTGCCATTGAATTCCAGCCCCAATGGCTGGATGATGCAACCCCACACTCTGGATTCAGCCCCCAGATTGGCTCCCCAGAGCCAGATGAGTTAATACCACCATGTTAAAGGGGTTTATTTTGGGGTTCAGCTGATAAATGAACCTTGACTTTTTATCTCATCTTCTGGTTTATTATGCATAACATGAAAAATGATTTGCATGTCAGCTTTACTTAATATTTTAACAATTAACTCTCCAGCTGTATCTAAAATAGGTCTCTGGAGTTTTTTTTTCCCTATCCACCTTAATTTAGTTAGCATCAATACTGTATTTTCATCCAGTCTTTGGAGGGCAAGGGCAGACATTTAAGGAGTGGAATAAGCTGAGAGAGATTGTAGAATTATCATCTTTGGAAGGCTTGAAAAGCAGGTTAGACAAATATTTGACAGGGATGTTTTAGTGAGGAATGATCCTGCTTTGAGCAGAGGACAGATGACTTCCTGAAGTCCCTTCCAGGTCTCTACTGTTTTTATGATTCTATGAAATGGAACTGTGTTGACTTCATAATAATGAATAAGGCTGCTAGCGTAAAAGGGCAATCTCAGATTCAATAGCTCTGGTGGTTCTCAGACTTAGACTTTTCTTCTCAGAGTAATTTAGAAAAAAATATTGGACAAAAGCTCTGAAGAACTAAGACAAGATTTGAAAGGATAGTTGCGATACCAACTTTTAAATATACAGTAAAAGCTCTGTTATCTGGCATCCCCTGGGAATGTGGGATGCCGTTTAATCAAATATGCCGGTTAATCAAATGTGCACCATTTGGTGCACTCCCCGGCATTAGTGTGCCGGGAGACAGGGAGGGGGGCCCCATGCAGGCTGCTTCACCCCATGCAGGCTGCTTCGCTGTGGGCCGAAGAAGTGGCAAAGAGAAACTTGGCTTGCGGCGGCGAAATGGGAAGTCCCCTGGAAGTGGTACTTCTGGTTTTGCTTTTGCTGCGTCCCTCGGATGCTGGTTAATGGAGTTTTCCAGCTAATAAAGTGCCAGTTAACACAGCTTTTGCTGTATATTTAAAAAACCCTTGTACATTAAGCAGATTTGGAAAGAGCAATGTATTATCTAAAAATGTACTTTCCTTAATTTATTTACATTTTCAATCTTCCAGCTGGGACACATGAACATGTTTTTCAGTGTAACCTTCTGTGATGGTACAAATGAAGAATTTTGGAGAAAAACCTTTTGTACACATACTGCTGAATATAAATTACTGTTGGAGTAGCGTGCAAATGCTGAGTGCACCATGTAGGTTGTATGAAGTTGATCTTAGTCTGTTTTCTCAAACTCCAGAGGTTTACCTATATCATTGCACTATCTTGCACTCACTGATTTGTTTCAGAAAATAGGATTTGTTAATACCAAGGTCCCTGCAAGTTCTCAGAAGTACAGTATAATCTGCATTAAGGTGCTACATGGTCATTCCTAAATTTCACTTCTATTTCAGTATATAGTTCTTAGTGTATGTGAAAGGAAAGATCTGCATGGGTGACTAAAAATCTACTGATTGTACCCAGTGAAAGAAACTACAGATGCTGCTTTGAGTGACAGAAAACTTTAGGACCATTTTAATTCAACAGGCAAAATAGATACTTTTTAAATGAAGTGACTGAGCTCTTTTTCTGCTGCTATAGGCATAAACAGATACAGCAGTTTATACAGGAACATCTTACAGTGGTGTAGCTGTTGTTATGTCTGTCTACATACTAGGAAGTTCCCATTTGTATTTCCCATGCCCATTCTTGTTTTCTTTTTAAATTCTACCCCTAACATTTTATCTTTTATATTTATGTATATAGTTTACTTTTTACACACTTCTCACATTGAGTCAACTTAGTGATTCTTCTTTGTCCTTTAGAAATATTTTGGATGTCTTGTTAGAAATGGGATGTTCTACATCTAAACCCCTTTATACATTAGTGTTTTATCAAGTGAATTTTTAGAGTGAAATTTTCAGTGACTTCCTCGCTCTGTTGAAATGCATAGTAAAATTCTCACTGCTTGTAATGGAGAATGGCTTTAATCTTTAGTTTCCTTATTTTGTAGTTTGGATTGAGGTCAGAACAGCATCTTGACTTCTAACAAACATACATACCTGTATTTTACTTCAGTGAAAGCCTTGGGTGTGATGCAATTATACCCCTTTAACCAGGGTAGCTAAACTAAAACTACCTCATAGTCTCCTACTCAGTCTTCTAATTAAGGCTCTAACTTGAAAGTTTGTGTAAAAAATAAATAAATAATTGAATTTTCAGAAAATAACTAGTATACCGTATCTTGCTCTCAAGTCACCCTATTTCTATTAATGGTTGTGTGCACGCTTTCATATGTTGGATATGTTAATTTTCAGTTTTAAAAACTTCACTAATATTTGTAATGTTTGTACTGAAATAAAAATTAACTCCTATTTTGTTGTAGTCTTAACTCTATATTTGCATCAAAATGTCGGTATTTTGTTTTTAGCTGCAACAAATGATAGGACACTAACTTCCTGTGTGCATGTCCCTAGTCTACCAATGGACAACAGATGCATTATAATGGTGGGAAAGTTAACAGTTTAAAAAACCCCCCACAAGAACCCCTGCTATCATTTAATGTAGTAACTTTACTAGAATATTTGCATATTTTCTATCAAATAATCTTTCCTGTTTTGTGATGTTAGTAATTTGTATATTAGAGTAAGTTTAAGATTCCATAGGTCAGATTATTTATACTGATTTTCCTCAACTGAGGCTCTTTCTTAAATAGATAACCAATACCTAATTGAAAAATTTATGAAATAGCATGAAAATTGTATGCATGAGACCTGTTCCTGTAACTTCTGATGTGGAAATTCAGACGGGATTTACCGTTTGACTATCAGAAGCGCTTCATTTTGCATGGCCATGGGAGAAAAAGCAAGGGGGAGCTAATTTTCAACAAAAGCAAAGCACAGACTTCTTTATATACTGATAAATCACATACAGATCTGCCCGCCCTGTAACATACTATTGGCAGTCTGACAGCGACTTATCCTGGTGTCTTGCTGAACTAGGCGCATTTTTTTCAAGCTGTTTCCTGATAAGCTTATCCTGAAGGCCGCCGTATTGTTCCTGCTCGGCCTTCACCAACATCTCCCACCCTGTCCTGACACACACACACTTCTTTCAGTACTTTTTCATTCCTCATCATTTCCCCTTTGTAAGCACTTGTGCTTACACTTCTATATTTATAAAGGCTTTGACATTTTCTTGTCATTCACACTCACAGGCCACCTCCTTGAGCACTATCATCTGCAGCTTGGTCTTAGAGAACCTAGAAACACTCTGGGCAGTTTTCAATAAACAGCAGCATAAGCAACACAGAGTCACTTGGATAATAATGAAAATGGCAAAAATGCATAATCAACTTAGAATACACTATTTTAGCAGGGATTTCTACCATCCCCCTATATCTGGTAGCCACCTTCACTACTCGAAGGGTTTCTCCTTTGCAACTGCATGGATCACCTGTAACTGTCTTTTAATGGTGTGGCAGTCTTTTTTCACTTGTTGGTGCTGATCAATTCAGGTACAACAACTATGGTTTACGACTGCACGTGCTTCCAGGGTTCCAACCTGGGCAACTCGATGAAGTCCATCTGGAGATGGGAAAAGGGGTAAAGACCTAAAGGTCTGTGGAATGCACGTGGCCGGCAGGGTGGTCGGCCAGGATTGTGTCACTGACACTGCAGACACTAGCGACAAAAATGGGCAGCCACGGTGGAAAAACTGGGGGCGTACCAATGGCGGTCAACTTCGGCTACCGTTCCCCCTTTGGCCGAATGGGCCACTGAGCGGGCCATTTGAGCCAAAAGGGATAGCAGGGCCCTGGGGGCTACAAGGTGACCAGGTGGGTGCCGCTACAAGGAGTCAGAGTGGAAAGAGCAGCTTGTGGATATCCAGGCATCTTTTTTGGCATCTGGGGCAGCATCCTGGAGACAGGGGAAGAGAGGTAGAGAGTGGCCTAAAGGACCAGAGCTGAGTATTCTGACAGGGCAGTGGTCTTGGCCGCGGTGTCCGCCCTATCGTTTCCCAGAGACATAGGATCATCAGTACCAGTGTGCGCTTTGCACCATAGAACAGCAAGGGTGGAAGGAAGGAGAATAGCGTCTTGGAGAGCAGTAATAAGGCGATGGTGAGAGATGGGAGTCCCAGCAGAAATAAGAAAACCTCACTGTTTCCAGATCTGTCCAAAAGAATGGCAGACACCAAAGGCATAGCGAGAGTCTGTATACATATTAGCAGATTGTCCAGCAGCAAGGTGCCAGGCACAAGTGAGCAATGAGTTCAGCAGCTTGAGCACTAGTAACAAAAAGAGCGGATTCAATAACAGTATGATTGGAACAGACAGCATAGCCAGCTCAGAGAATGCCATGATTATCTTGAAAACAGGAGCCATCAACATAGAAAATGAGGTCAGGATTAGTCAGAGGGGTATCGGAAAGATCAGGACGAGGAAGAGAAATGAAGTCCACAAGCTGAGTGCAGTCATGGGGTTGGCTGTCTGAGGGTGAAGGAAGAAGAGAGGCAGGATTGAGGGGATCACAGCAGACAAGGGTCACGTGGTCCACAGCCAGGAGAACCACCTCATAGCGAGCTAGACTGCCAGGGGACAAGTGCTGAGTCCTGCCGCATTGGAGGAGGGTGAGGACGGCGTGCGGGACAGCAACAGTAAGAGGG